GATAAATGAAAGATGTTATGTCACATGCATGGATTACGTGTGATTTCTTTCATTCAGATGAGATTTTATACCATCCTGAAAATGACTCTTTCTTTTGTTAATAATAATAATTGTCAATGAAATGGTTTACTTTGTTAACTCCTATTTACCCTGGGTTATAAACTTACACGATATCAGAGTCATATCATTTACTATGATACCATTGGTATGATATCATAGTAATAAATCTTGTCCATTATCGTTTGGCAGATTCACAGGAATTTGCTTCAAAATAATAATAATAGTCCTAAAACTTTGTAAACGCGCTGTGTTAATAAGCTGTCATAACTTTAGCATATAATGACACAGATTCGAATACATAGTAGATGACTGTGTTAAGGACTGCGTTTACTAAAGGTCAATTCTTTTTTTTTTCCCTTTCACATGCAAAAAAATGAGCTAAGCGCGCGTTTTTTTCACATAGACGGAAATACAGCAGAATTCCTTAATTAAGCAGTTCTTGAAGACAAGTCTATAAAAAGAAAAGAAATTAGCTGAATCAATGAATCATGTCGTTTTTCTTCCTCTTCCGCCTCGTGCCGCTATCAGGACCACACTTGAATGCTGAGAAATCGTAGAGAGATAGTATCAACGCCACTATGTCAACACACCGTGATCAGCTTTTATCAATGCACCGAACAGATGCAAAATATGATAAAAATTGGTCGAACACAAAACTGTGCCACTGCTTCGGAATCAGATGGAACTGTCATCACGATCGAACAATGCTTCAATGATGATGATTCTAAATTGCCATCTACGCCGGAACAAGACACTAGACACCTTAACGACATTTAATAAATGAGCATTTTTATGATCCCAGCACTCTGACCCTCTTTTCTTCTTTAAAGGAATGAACCATTTACGAGCTTTTAAACTCTACTCTCTCAACAAGTCTGGCCTTAATAACAGTTGCGCTATGTTAAACTGTAAAATAATTCATTTCTCTATGAAACTCGTTTTACTTCGCATTCGCTTTATTCTAATATATTTTATGCCCAACAGCGCCCACGTCGCAGAGCCAGTGAACACTGGTAGTTCGACTTGGAATCAAATCCAACAGAAAACACTAAGGCGTGGATTTTTCATCATTTTTAACACGAATCCTTAGAAACTCTCGCAGAACTTCCATATCTAACATGAGCCAGTTTCCCTTAGGAAGTTTTCTACAAAGGCTTCCCTCTCCATAGGCGTATGGTTCTCGTGAACTTTGGCATTGTCAAAACACTCTTCTAGTTTCATACAAAATTTTAGTGATTATCATTCATGCTTTGCACGGGAGCGAATTCCTCGATTTATGACATTCAGATAAACAACCTCGCAACAATGCAACATCAAGTTTTTGCATATAAGGAATGAGCGCCATATGAATACTCAAATTCCACAGTTCTTTAAAAAAAAATGGGGGGAAGCGCCAGTCTTCCAGCTTTTTTTTTTTTTTTTTTTTTTTCATCACTCGAACGTTTCGAACCCTAATCTAAAACATCTGAGTATAAAAAGTTGTGGTCTGAGGTATAAAGACACTACTCTCAGAGCATCTGCGCTATTTTACAAAAACCTGGCCTTTATTGAAAAGTTCAAAGAAAAGTTTGATAAAAAGCATCAAAATCGGCATATACTATAAAAATATTTGACGCATTCTCTTAGAAAAATGAATGATGTTACCTCCGGATTATAACACCTCTTGACAAACGAGCAACATGCACTAAAATTCGTAATAACACCGGAAGAGTGTGCCTTCATAACACTGGCCATTTATCAATGGAAGCGTAGGCAAAACAGCAATTTAAGATTGGTGTAGATTTTGAATAAAATTCTGTCGACATCAAAAGTGATCGATCCCTCTTCTTCAGCAGAAGATTAAAATTTTTCTTTCGTGCGTTTTCTCTTTCAGTTACACTTTAAAAGTTATTAGTAACGGCCATCGTAAAGAAAAGATTATGAAAGAATTACTCCATAAAGTTCGTGTCTCTTAGTTCAAATCCCAACCGAAATTGTTACAATTTAATTTTCACTTAGATTATATAAAAGGCCTTAAAATCAGCTTATGAAAGAATTATTTAAAGGAAAAAACAAAAAAGAAAATTGTTTCATAGAAAGATTTGATCGTTCAGCGAAATAATTTACAGATGTTCCGTGTGGTGATATAATTACTGTCTAGTTAGGTGATATGCTATTCAGTTTACTACTTATCTCCTACCTACAGACCACGATGCCGCTGAGTTAAAAACCGTTTTGATACAGACATACAGACATGGAAGACAGCAAATTTTTACCAACTCTATGAATCTTTTCTCCTCAAAATGTACTGATCAAAGTTTATTTCTGGGAGTGGTTTCAATAAAAGAAACTCCAGGACAGCAGTCTTTAACTAAAACTGCCCGCCGGCCACATGTATGATCTGAAAACAGCTGACGGGCCAGAACATTTCTTAACAAAATTATAAAATTTTTATAAATAAAATTTTAAACTTCGTTTGCTACCCATTTTTCACAACATATGTAAAGAACAATAATAATATCGTAAAGGAAAAATAAAAATTAAAACTTTTATTTTATTTTGTTTTATATCTGAAATCTAAACTTGGTTACACTTTTTAATTTATATGTATTGACTGCTAACTCCATTTATAAATTTTCAGATGCGTTATTCACGTTACTTTTTAATTATGATGAAACCAATGTAAATTCCGAGTTTAAGTAATTAAAATCTTGAAATACCGAAGGGCCCGGGTTCGAATACCGCAGAAGGCATGAACATTTGTGAATTTATAGTGTCTGCGCAGCATGGGGCACTCCATAGCCATCGAGCCGGATTCTCCTCTCCAGCTGGTGGAGGTAGGGAAAGAGAGCTGGGAGACTCTCGGAACTGCCTTCCCCCCTCGGAACTCGGTTTGAGAGACCCTTGGAACTCGGCTTTCTCTCTAAACTAGGGGGAAACTGAGCTAAAGTCGAGCTGTCTCCTATATGGTGATAATGGCTCTTGCCAACGACAGGCGGATTTGATTTCTTGCCACGATGAAAGTCGTAACAAGTATTTCTAACACTGTATTTGCAACAAATTCATAATTAAAATGTCCGTCAATTTGCCTAGACCACTGCTCTAGGGCATGTTTAGATGATTCCTTTCAGATTATATCCGATAAAATTCTTGCGTTTTATTTTTTCAGTTCTAATAATGTTCCGATAATGTTTCATACATGTAAACAAATGATAAATAAGACATCACCACACAGTTACTATCATAATTTAGGCTCCTCAGATAACGAATTTCTTTCATAATGGCTCCGACGAAATAAAAAAACGTTAGTCTATTTTGAAGTCTTCGGTAGTTGATTTGAAGTCAGAAACCGCGGAATAGAAACTAACGGATCAAAAACAAGAAATAGCGAAGAAAAAACCTTACATAGAAAAATGTTTTGCGATGGCTTTAGAAATAAGCAAAATTTTATATCACATAAATAAACATAGTATGTGATTAATGTCTTTTATATGCTATTTTATTTTATTTTATTTTATTTTTCGGCTGGGTGGAGAGAAAATTAAATGTTCATTTTATGTCCTAGTGCACATTATTAGTGTTCAGCTGTAATATTATACATAGTCATAAATGCGTTACAAATAAGTTGCATTCTCTACGTTGCAAATAAGTTGCGTTCTCTATGTTGCAAATAAATTGCGGATTACAGCTATGAAAAAAAAACCTTTTTTCCTACCTTAAAATTAAAAAGAGTCGATATAGTACACAGTTCCAATTCTCTGAATAAAGCATTCAAAAGTTAATGAACTCCTATAAATTTTTCAGAATGATTCTATTAATATATTTCCACCCAAACGGGATATTGGTTGGTGACGTTGACTGCCGCACCGATACGCTCGAGCTCGAACAGAGAAGGCATGAATGTTTGCAAGCGTATAGTGTCTATGCGGCAAGGATGCAGTCAAAATACAATACGAGTCGAAAGTCCTCTGGATAAGTTGGTGGTAGGGAAAAAGGAGTTTGGGGGCCCTGAAACCGTCCCTCCACACCGAGCCTTCAAAACGGGGGCCAAAGCTTAACAATTAGCTAGGTTCAGCAATACCTCAATCACTTGAAGTACTGAGATCACCTGAAGTACTGGATACTCAATCACTAGAAGTAATTGTAGAAGTACTGGGTGACTAAGTATACTAATAACGTGTTTCAAGAGAAACAATTTCATTTTGATTCTTTTATATTTATCTCGAAATACTTTTCAATTAATAATGAATTAACTGAGAAAGAGGTACGATTATATAAATATTACTCCATTCGGAAATGTAATACGATTACATTTATTTTTTTGATATTTCCTCAGTGCTGTAAAAGAGATACCATAATTATTCTCAAATCCTCGCCTTTTTGTTTTTACTAATTTCGCCTCTTAATAATCGAGAGATGAAAGCTGAAAAATGAAAAATACATAATTCTATAATAATATTAAATGTTTTAATTAGTTATATCATGAATAAAATACATTTTGATTTTAGTCAATCAGAATTTTTTTTTTTTTTTTTTTTTTTTTTTTTTTTTTTAATATTCTTAAGAGCTGTATCTATTGGTTTTAAATAGCTTAGTTTGCTAATCAATCACAGACAAATTAAATTTCAAAGATAAATACTTTACATATTTCCGAATGGCAACAGTCTCGCATGAGAAATTAAACAACACAAACACGTGTTTCCGAGATAACCGTTTAAGGCTAGCTAATGAGTAAAACGTATTAAAACTCACGCTAAGAAAACTTTTGCGGCTCATTCTTTTCGCTACCGCAACTCTCTAACAGTCTTTATAACTAATTTCGCACCCATAACAAAATAGAATAAAATAAAAATTAATCTACCAAATATTTGTGACAAGTAACAACACTTTTAAACGTAAAATAATATGGTAAAAACTAATTTGAATACATAAATTTTTAGAAAAAATGTGTTTTACTCTACCTGTAGAAGCAGAAAAAAAGAAAATCTCCACGGGATTTACAGTTATCCAATGGTGTAAAAATTAAAAACAATCCAGTATTCCAAAATTAGCTGTTAATCCGTAACTTCAAAACCTCAAGTTCAATCATAATCCAGAGATCACAAAAAGAAATAAAAATATCTCCACGTTTAATCAACGCAACAACGCGAGTTGTACGAAAAACAACCACTTCCTTCAGCGTCCGACGCTTATTTGAAAACTGCGTAGGGTTGCTGCGATATTCGGAAACTGTTTGGCGAGGTAACTCGAAGTAGCCAATCAGAATTTGTCGCAGAAACGGAGATTCCTACTGTCTTTTACCGAATTTTTATCGGAGGAGTAGAAACGTAAAACACTAGTTATCCGGATTAAATCGTATACCAGACTGTCGGAATAATTTTTTTTTTTAATGATGCTGCTGTCTTTTCTCTTGCTTTATTTAAACAAAAATTACACAAATGAAAGGAACAGACGTATTTTAATACAGATTCCATTTTTTTTCTTTATACCCGAAATCGCTAATATCCCAACTCCACTTACCGATAAGTTTGGTTTCCGCTTTACTATCATATCAGTATGTTAACCATATTAGTTTTGCCCTTCATTCTCATAACAATGCAACAACAATCCTTTTCGGATGTATAATAATATTATGCTTCATCCTTACTGAAGGTAATGCGAGAATAAAAATCATGCACACTCACAACCAAATCCCTCCCCCACCCCCAAAAAAAATCTGAAAAGATTTAGATTTTAACTTCGCACCAGAGGATTTGTTAAGGCTTTTTATGCTCTCATTGAGTTCGCAGTTTATGTATCCGCTCCTGAACTCACTCCTACTGACGCGACTTCTTTTGTCTTTTTAACTTTATTATTAAACTTTTTTTTTTTTTCATTTTCTTCTCATTTACGCCACATTATTCAAGTGGAAAATAACATTGTTAGAAATAGAATATCTTTAGAATTCCTGGTATAGAGTTATGTTTTGCTTCACATTCTTTTTTCCAGAAAGGCTATTACTTTCGGATTTCAGTTTTGAGTAGAATCACATTTATTGCCTGTTTCACTTTTCAAATAACTAGCCGCTTTATAACTATAAAAAGAGAACTATATATATAACTTTTTAATAAATTCAACTCAGTTTCTCAGTTGTAATTTCGCAGCCAGTAATTAATAAATGAGATAAAGAACTAGATTTATTTCTTTGAAATCGCTCAGTTTGTTAACCAGTAACAGGCAGATTAAATTTAAAAGCAAAATTAAAGCTCTTTCGCTTCGCCACATGGCAACGAACTGTTGCATAGAAATTACAAATATTTTATATCGAATATCTTTTGAATATTCGATAGTGTTTAATTTATTTGTTTCTTTTAATACTTTTTTTTTTTTTTTTTTTTTAACTTCCTTATTCGAAGTAAAGGAAGTATTGTAATCGTGAGAGCACCATATTTCAACGGAAATATATTTGACTGTTACCGAATCCGTTTGGACTATTGTTTTGTGTGACGTATATGACTACGGAGAGAATAAAGGACACTTTTTTCCAAAACGGACTGTAAAATGGATTTAAAATAGATTTAAAAAAAGATTTTTTTCCTGACGTCTGTACGCGCATATATGTGTATATGTCTCGCATAACTCAAAAATGATTAGTTCTCTTCGATTATTGATGTTTTAATGTTTCACATTATTACCTCTTTAAAATAGATTCAGAAAGGATTTTTAGTCCGAAAGGGTAATTTGCCCAGAAGGACTATTAATTTCATTTTGGCATTTTGCGTCGATTCACTATAAACGGAGAACCACTTTTCAAATTGTTACCACCAAATATTAGAGCCCTGTATTATATTTAAAGAAATTGAATAATGAAGAATCTGTATAAATATATTTCTGTTTCTCGTATTCTGATAAAACAACGGTAACTAGAGCCATCAAATTTTCAATAACATAATCCTGCTGGGAATATGAGCATCTGGAAGCCCAAATTTGGAATTTGGGTAACATAGAAAAAAATGCCCCTTTGGCCGTAATGTAAAATCTGAAAACTTTCAGATTTTTTAAGGTATTCTAATAATTAATTATTGCGAATAATCTATAATATATCATGAATTCTAATATCTCCATTTTGAATTATAACAAATTTTCAAAAATAGTCTTATATGTGGGTAAACTGTGCATATTTTTCTTTAAAATTGATTGAATTTTGTTGTCTTTAAGTTCTGGTTAAGGTTTTTATGCCTTTCATAAACGTCCATGCTGTATTGTAGAATTATCAAGAATTTAAAAAGTGGCCTAAGCCTAGCTATTTGTTTGTATTTGAAAGTAGTATAGTGGATTAAGCCAGCAGAGCACCGACTTCAGCGTCTTTTTGCCCATTGAAACTACAAGTTAACTTTTAAATTTGCGCACCGAAAATTTATCTTTTTGCCGTAGGCCAAATTACTTGTTTTAGCATAGGCCAAACGAGCCATTAGACCATTTGCTTACATTTGAAACTTTTAGTAGAACAGAGAATGACGTCACTTGTTGCAGCAGCTTCAGTGCTTTTTTTGCTGAATGCGACAATAAATTAACTTTACATTTTGTGCACCGAAAATTTTGTCTTGCTGCTCCCTGGCCAAATTGCCTGTTTTGAGTAGAAACCCTAATTTTAATTATAAATTTTTTTTTAACTGCGTTTAACTGAATTTGGTGTTTTAGGTTTTTCTGTATTTTACAATTTTTTATGAAGATGTTTAGAGTGTTTATGTATTTCTGCTTGCCGCGAAGTGAGAACTGAATTGATTGAATGAGAACTAATGAAATTCGACGAAATGTGTTTAAATGAAGAGAAGCAAAAAATGTGTATAATTAACAGGCTGTGCAAGGTAATCATGTCTTGTCCACATCAGACTTTTTTTTTTTTTTTTTCTTTTTTTAAAACAAGGAATATATGTACTGGGCGATAACAAAAGACAGCTGCTTTCCATAGAAACCGTACCTGTTTCGACCTGGTTCCAGTCCAACATGGCGAATTTACTTGAAAAAGAAATCAGTCATTTTGTACGAATACCATAATGAACTAACTCTAACAACTGGATTCGTAAATTAAACGTCGAATTGCCCGTATTTAGAACACTGATATTTAAAAACGCCCGCAAATTAAAAATGTTTCAGTGTTTATTAAATTAGTTTTGTATTTGTTAGTAAAAATATTATAAAAGTGTAGGAAAATCAAAATATTGGTTAAAAGGGAGTGGAACAAGTGAAATCAATCGGTTTGAATACTACTTTTTGCCGATTCTGCGTAAAAGAACAAAATTTACCCAGAGATGATTTTCTCCCGGAATGGGCGATAGTTTGCCAATGCATGGCAGCCTTATTATCCAATCGCGAAGGGTAGGAAAGGAGGGGGAAGGAAAAGCGAAAAAGCCATAGATGCGTAATAAGAGGAAAAAGAAAATCGCACGGAGGGGGTTATGAGTCACCACCGGTTGCTCGTTTTGAAGCAATCAACCAAATCGCCGGTAGTACGATGAGTTATTGGGCGCGAAGCTAGTAGCCGGCACTCGAACCTGCCGTAACATAAAAATATGAGGATAGATTTCTATTTAAGTCATTCGATTTTCCAAACACGGTACATTTGCCACATGAGGCATTCCGCTCTAGGTACTTCTTGCATTTTTTAAATATCAATAATAAATATTCGTAAGTTATCAACGTCAAAGTTCAAATATCAAAATTATTAATTGATGCAACATGTTTTCATTACCATTTATCTTGTCTTCAGCGGCAGAACTAATGTCTTTATCCACCTGCATTACTTCTTTTGTAGACATTATTGCATAGCTTATGAAACTGAAGTCCGTGGAACGTACGTTGAACGTCCGCAACGCTTTAAAGAAATCTTAAGATTTTATTACATTTTTAATTAACACCGCCGTTAAATATTTTTTATACATACATTTTCATTATGTTCCTTTGAGTTCACTTAAAAAAAAAAAATCTGAACTGTTTCAGATTTTAAATTACGTCCAAACGGGCGTTTTTTAAACGTTTTGTGTGTTACCTTTATTTATTAAATATCACGTTCTTTGCATTTAAACCATAAAATTCAGTTCAACAGCAATATCGCAAAATAGTTTTAAATTGAGCATATCTTTAGAATTTCCAATACACAGTCTCACGCGCTCTAGATAAAAATGTTTTTTCTGTACAACGTTGCCATGGCTCGCTTTGAAATCCTTGAGTTTGTTAATCAATAATTCGTTAAAGTTTTACAAAATATGAAATCGATCATAAAACAAATTCCAAATTTCAAATTTGGACTTCCAGGTGCCCATATTCGCAGTAGGATTAAGTCATTCAAAATTGGATGGCTCTAGATACCGTTTTTTTATCCCAATGAGAGAAATATACATACATTTATGCAGATTTTTCATTACTTAATTTCTTCAAATATAATGTAAGACTCTAACATTTTGTGGCAACAGTTTGAAAAGTGAACCCGACATTTATAGGAGTCCGACGCAAAATGCCAAAACGAATGTAATAGTCCTTCGGGACTCAAATTCCTTTGGACTAAAATTATGAATAATTTTAACTTGTTGTTGTTGTCGTGTCTTTGATAAAGCCTATTCAAATCGCCATGGCCGGAGATAATAGCCCTGGCAATCTGCAAAATATTGTAATTATAGAGATTCGTTTTCTTACACATGACCCAAATTTTTAGCAATTCAGCACGGATGGTCGGACAGTCAAAAATGTGTGTAGTTATCAGGTCTGCGTCCGAGCAATGATTACAGTTCCTGTAGGTTTTCCTACCCTCTTTGTAAATTTTCAATCTTCTGCGATGGCCAGTTCTAGGTCTGACAATTTTAGTTTTAGTAATAAAAGTCGATCTCCATTGATGTTATGGATTTGGTATTTCATTGGAATTGAAAGTTCCTTCAAGCTGTATTTGGCCATGCCATTCGCGTCCGAAAGGTTGACATTTACGTTATTATTGTTAGTACAGGATTTACGTATAAGCTGCACACGCTATAGCTTAGGGACCCCGCTTTCTTGGGGGTGTCCCTAAAAAAATTAAAATATTGTGTGAATGTAGTATTAAAATGTAGTATAATAGTGTGATAAGGTGGCATAAAGGTTCTTTGTTTAGGATAAGTTTTCATATCAGTTGTGAAATCCTGTGCCTTTGTTGATAATTCCTGTTGCAG